TAATATTTTCGTATTCGAAACCACACGCTGAAATTGACAGATATCAAGTCTGCACTAAAAATCTGTAAATGGAAAGCTCAGTAGGTTTATGTCCTAAATATTCGCTTTGACAAATCAGACATTGCCTATGTAAATTGAAATTATGTAATTTATCTTTCGCTGTTTCACCCGCTTCACTGAGATGAGTCTGTACCTAATACAGTTCATGTGGATATTATACTTCTACGATGAAAACATGTGCCACGATACTGTGGCTCGCCTGGATAAGTAAGCTTATCAACATACACTTAATACTTGCTGCCATCATCGATTATAAAATATTTTCAGCATCTTGCCAGGATAAATGGACACATATAACTAAACACCATTCCTTCATCGGCAAAAATAAATATAAAGTTTAACAATGTCATGTGTTGTTATAAACAACCGTTAGATTTACGTCAAACATGCCTTCTGAAAACCTTACATTTTAAACAACTTTTTAAGCTGGTCGAATATAATGGCTGGGGTAGTCAGATTCTGTGATTTGGTTGATTGGGTTAATGGTGTAATTAAACCACTATATACATAGAAAGTAGATACCAAACATCCTGAACATTACAGACCTATAACATTGCTGCGTTCATTTGGAAAGTTATTCACCTCTATACTAAATAACAGTTTGAGCAATTATACTGAAACAAACCACATTCTATCCGATGATCAAGGACCACCCCCGTGGTCTAGTGGTAGAGCGTCCACCCGCGGTTCGATCCCCGGCCGCGTCAAACGCGTTAAAAGATACTTCTTGTTGATAATGCCTGGCGCTCGGTATTAAGGGGCTAAAGCATGGACTGTTCCGCTCGGAGTCGGAAAACTCTGTCTGACTGGGGCATTCATGTTAAACTGCGGCATGGTATCTCACTGGGCTAGCACTATAAAATCGGCATTAGACCGGACTAGTACATGCAGCCACACACACGTGCATGTACGTCACTATATAAGTGCAATACTTTTGGACGCGACGTTAAGCCCATTTCACCTCACCTTCACCACCGAAGATCAAGCAGGTTTCTGAAAATAATACTGAACTACCGATCACCTTTTTACTGAACATAATCTCTCTGAATTATTGAAGATTAAAAAAAGGAATGTGCATCGATTGACTTTCTATCATCCTACGATCCTACTGATTTCCAAAACAATGTTAGATTCATTTCAGAGGTATTGTGTTAGTTGGAAGTTTAAAATCAATCATTCGAAACCGCAAATAATTATATTAGTCAGGGCGAATCAAAAATGTAAATGCAATCCTTCAAAAGTGATAATTATATGATAGATAATGTTGATTCTTATCAATAACTTGGCGTCACTTTTCAGAAAACTAACAAATTTACAAAGACTAAGCAAATCCTAAATGAAAAGACCCGTGAAGATTCCGGGGTAGAATAGGTCTTCAGCAACCCATGCTTGCCGTAAAAGGTGACTATGCTTGTCGTAAAAGGCGACTAACGGGATCGGGTGGTCAGGCTCGCTGACTTGGTTGATGTATGTCATCGATCCCAGTTGTGTAGATCGATGCTCATGATATTAATCACTGGATTGTCTGGTCCAGACTCGATTATTTACAGACCGCCGTCATATAGCTGTAATATTGCTGAGTGCGGCGTTAAACAACAAACCAACCAACCTAAATGAAAAGGCAACCGAAGCTGTGTTTTTCGATTTAAGCCAAGTTAGAAAACTAAATCTGTCTGCTGATTTATTTTAAGATTTTTTGATAATTTAGTTACTCCTATTTTTCTTTACAGGGTTTTGAAAACTTAGGTTGATTTGAAAATATACATTTAAGATTCCTTAAATATTTATGTTTAATAAGGAAAACTATTCATATTTTTATGATTTACGAGAGCTTGGTGGATACACAGTTGTCAACTTAGTTAAAAGCATTTCTTTTGGTTTATGGAAAAGCCTAAAAAATATCCCCTTTAGTGTATACGTTTATTGATAATGACAGGATTTGGGGAAACTGTAATCACATACGGAGAATACGGAAAAAGGTATTTTTGATCAATTAGGATAAAGATATATATACACATCACAGACCTTTCCAAGAATTATATCTGTTAAAAATGCTTGTTCGTTGAAAGATATCTATGAACTGAAAGATATCTATGAACAAACATGGATAGCAAACATAAACAATTCTTCGAAAGGAAATTTTCAAGAATCTAACTTTCCTAAATCTCAGTACATCAAACCACCATCTGCCGGTAACCTACGCGATCTTTATGACGTCAGAGATGAATTTCACAAACTATTTGTGCGTCAAGCATTTCATGAAAGCTAGGAAATGTTTTGTTCATACATACATTGAATCAAATGTATCAAAAATTAATTATCTTTTGAATTGCCTAACATTTGGAACTTTAAGAAAATCGCCTCTAATTTGCAATAAAATTAGTGAGTGAGTGAGTTGCGTTTAACGCCGCTTTTAACATTATTTCAGTCATATCACGGCGTGTCAGCTTAATGTGGGAGGGAAGCCCGAAGTGATGCAGGTCTAAGACGTTTATCACTTCGGTGAAACCCACGAGCACAGGTATGGTGCTGACAAACCTAGAAACATAATTGGGGCGAACCGGGATTCGAACCCACAATCATAGGTTTCTGGCTTGCCCAAGGGACGCAACTCTGCACAGCGAATTGCGGCGCCTTACACGATTGGGCCACCCGTGTCCCCCCTGCAATAAAATTAAGCCACAAGCAGCATAAAATCATATTCACTTACTTGGTGTATACTGTGCATGGTAGAAGGTTTAATATTTAGGGAGATATAGAGGACATTTCCTTTGTTTTTGATCGGGAAGCTCAAAATACACCAATAGTTGTTTCCTTTGCAGCAATGCAACACCAATGGGGTAAAGATGGTTATAAACTCTTGAACTTTGAACAGCCGTTCATTTATTCGCATTAAAACAGATACATACCTGGATGTTTGATGCAGATAATCAGGAAAATAACAAACCCAGCTTTTGACCTGTGTAAAACGTCATGTGACTAATATTGTAAACTATGACAGCAGCAGCTCTCCTTCCTGTCCCATAAAACGACCTGTGTGTGCCGACTGTTGTTTGGGTGTCACGGAAATACAAATACCACAACTCTGTTTGCCCCCACTTGCCACTTTTGTACACGTAGTATCCTCGACAATCACCAAGGGCACGTTGTACACAATACCACCAGCTACAGCTCCGCTCGGACCCGCACACCAACTAGCCTACCTGCTTAGTCATGGCCTTCTACTTCACAGTAACAGTTGGATCTCCCGCGGTATCACTGTGATGTATTACCTACCTCCACTTAACTGAGCATCTTAACTTTTGCAAATTGCTCCGGCAAGATCAGTAACGACAAATTAATTCCAATTGTGTGACAAAATATTGATTTTCCCATTCATCATAATGTAAAGCATCTCACTGTCTGACTGCTGGGAACGAAGAGTTGTCAGGGGAAAAAGCAAGGTACAGACGCCTTGCGTGACTGGCCATAGTTCATAGTTCATAGTATCAATGCTTTGTTCAGCAAGGTCAATCAATCAATCAATCAATCAATCACAACGGTATTGATATTTATTAAAAAAAACATGCTTCAAGTGTGGGAAAGACATAAGAATAAACGTACGTTTGTCGGCTTGGGGATAAGTTGATCTTATGTATTCTGAACGACAAAAGAAACGAGATATGTATTATGGTACAAATATTTTAGAACATGATTTCTCTCGGTCATATGTTGTTTCCAGTCGCTCAAACAGCTGATGTAATGACGATTCTTTTAAAATGTCTTCAAACACATAAGTGCAACGCCAGATAGGATGCACTTTTGACATCACAAAGTACATGTCCAAGAATGCTTTCAAAAGGACACTTTTACATTTCTGAATTTGGAAAGTGCTTATGATGTGATTGTATTGAAGGTCCATGTCTGAAATATCTGTCGCTCCAGACAAGATTCAATGCCAGATCGACCTCGTAGTGGCAGGTCTCGAGTTACTGCCACACATGAAGACCGTCGAATGCACAGGAACCACATGCATCATCTGTTCCAAATGTCCATGGAACACGACAGGAACCCTTGCCAATGTCATTAGTGACTCCACGGTTAGGCGTCGACTTCGACCGAGAAGTGTACGCTGTAGATGGTCACCTATCCGTCCGGACCTCACATCATCGTCAGACCTATCTTCGGTTAATTGAAGACATCGTCAGTGGCGAACCCACTTGTTTTTGTAGGTCATTCTAATGACCATCTGAGAGTGGTAAATGGTATCGGAACCCAAAGCTTAAGGATGTCCGAATGTCGTGGCGTCAGTCTTAACCACAAAACTGCTCCTGTCATCTTTGAAATTTTGCTAGTAGTGGTAATGACGTGCAGTGCAACGCTACATTGACCATATTTTGAGGCTGCACTCAATTTGTCGGACATCCGATTGTTCAGTTTCAGCGTGATAGTGCTCGACAGCAGGACTGAGAAGGCTTTTCTTCAACATCCATAGAGCACCTATGGGATCAGATGCAAATACGCTTGAACGAAGTGCGTCCCGGACCAAGAACAGCGAATGACCATGAACTTCCATTAGCTAGATCATATATGTAGACACATCAACGGGAACACCATAAACCGTCTTTTTCACCGCCATGAATCAACGGTGTATCGCAGTCCTCAACGCTAAACGGCGGACACACTCTATGTTGACAGCCGTCTGACAAACACACTTGTGTAACAACGAACTGTTTCATCTGCAACTTACATATTGAGACAATGTCCAACCACAATGTTTTTTGGAGGAGCTAGGAAATGGGAACGTTGCAAATAATTTTTCTTTCAAAACATTGCGAGTTCATAAAAAAAACATGATCTAGAAAAAAATATCTTTGCTTTTCTTTTGTGGTTCTGTTACTATAACGTATATGCTGTGTGTGTTACAGGCACTATGCAGGAGTGGACGTTGTACTACTTACCCTGGTCAGCGTGCTAGTGTTGGGGCGGATTACACTCGAGGTTGGAAGCCAACTAAACTCTTACAACTCCTCAACTCCTGTCAACATTTAGCAAGGAAACGTCACATTTCGCTATTTATACAAAAATGTCATGTCAAACATGTCACGTGATTTGTGAGCATTTACCGCACCCCTGCCGTTATCCAATCGGAGCTAGGGGTGTGGCTGTAGGTCAGATTCACCTCTGTCTGAACTGTTACCCCAAAGACATATCTATTTACCTGATGTCTTCTCTCAAATGTCGAACAGCACGTGACAGACAACGCATCTGTCTTTTCCCGCAGTGTTTGTATGTGACTACCTCCACACAATAGCTCAGAAACAAAACATAATATACGCCTACACTGTACACGACATACGCCTATATTTGTACTGAATATCCTACTATACCTTGTACGGTGTAAATTTTATACACCTATACTGTACACGATATACGCTATACTGTACGCGATATACTCCTATACTGTACACGGTATATACGTTTATACTGTCCACGATATACGTCTATACTGTACACGATATACGTCTATACTGTACACGATATACGCCTATACTGTACACGATATACGCCTATACTGTACACGATATACGCCTATACTGTACACGATATACGCCTATACTGTACACGATATACGCCTATACTGTACACGATATACGCCTATACTGTACACGATATACGCCTATACTGTACACGATATACGCCTATACTGTACACGATATACGTCTATACTGTACACGATATACACCTATACTGCAAACGGTATACGCCTATACTGTATACGATATACGCCTATACTGTACACGATATACTCCTTTATTGTACGCGATATACGCCTATACTGCATATACTATACGTCGAGGTTGTGCATGTATACGCCTGTTCTGTACACGATAGATGCTTATACTGTAAATGATATACTTTTTATTATACGCCAATAACGTACATTGTAAACGCCTATTGTGTTCATGGAAAAAGCCTACATTTTTATATCTTATATTCTACATTATTGAAAAATGTAGTCCATCCGGCCATGTTCACAAACTTAGCAGTGTGTTTGTCAGCAACATATTATAGGATAGACTATGTATTGCTATAGACGATCAAATACTGTTTATCAGTAGCATATTAAAGGGTAGACTATGTATTGCTGCAGACGATCGAATACTGTTTATCAGTAGCATATTATAGGGTAGACTATCTAGTGCTAAAGACGATCAAATACTGTTTATCAGTAGCATATTATAGGGTAGACTATGTATTGCTATAGACGATCAAATACTGTTGATCAGTAGCATATTAAAGGGTAGACTATGTATTGCTATAGACGATCAAATCCTGTTTATCAGTAGCATATTAAAGGGTAGACTATGTATTGCTATAGACGATCAAATCCTGTTGATCAGTAGCATATTAAAGGGTAGACTATGTATTGCTATAGACGATCAAATACTGTTTATCAGTAGCATATTAAAGGGTAGACTATGTATTGCTATAGACGATCAAATACTGTTTATCAGTAGCATATTAAAGGGTAGACTATGTATTGCTATAGACGATCAAATACTGTTTATCAGTAGCATATTAAAGGGTAGACTATGTATTGCTATAGACGATCAAATACTGTTTATCAGTAGCATATTAAAGGGTAGACTATGTATTGTAAAAGACGACCATGGGCCTTTTAAGAAACATAAAGTGAGTAATTACATTTACATCAGCAGAGACCATAATCATAATGAGGTGTAAGATGAACAAATAATTGTGTCAGCAAGTACAAGAGATTAGGAGTACAGCAAACTGGTGCACGTGATGTTCGAGGGAGTTATTGATAGAGGAGGGACCAGAGACTTCCTTGCCTGAGTGCAATGAAGCACGTTTGCCACGGAGTGTGTAAGTATTCGATGTCAACACCCCACGTAGTTGAAGACGTGTTCAATGAATCTGAGAAAAACGCGGAGAGCAAACAAATATTTAGATATCTATAAATATCTATATCTATATAAACCAATTAAAAAAGACTGACAAGAAATATTTCCATACTAATACAAACTTAAAAAGACATCCAGAACGTTTATGTAATGCATTATAACCTAACAGAAAGTCATAATATATCAAACAAATGGTTGCCTTTCAAAAATGGAATAAAATACGTGCAGAGCAAAACTTGTCTATTTAAGTTCCAGTGTATGTGTAACAGCTAACTCGCGAATAACATGACTTGCTGTCAGATTTTGACGTGTATGCCAGTTGATAGGTGACAAATGTCGGACGTATCTCAGACATAGATAACTTAAGAATTGACCTTTACTTTGTGTGAGTTCATTGGAGTATGAGCCTTCATAGAGTGAGGGCCAAACTGTGTGAACGTCGGAGCTGGCGAGCTTGCATCAGTTAAGTACAAGATGTCAAAATGGCCGACACGATAAACGTGACGGGAGAGATTTCCGAAGTTGTTAATCAACCTGTTGAGGTTACATGTGTTAGTCATCAATGATCAACTGGTCGATCATTGAAAGGTGATTAAAGATGCGTCAAACAGAAACAACGGTAAATTCGTAGATTGCTGGAGATGGTCACTGTCAGCCCAGACACGGATCGAGTCGATACTACGATAGTTTGGATGTGCATTTCTTCGTTTGCTCATTAGGATGGGCCGTAGCGAGGATATTCGTGAACAATCGTACAGTTAAGCTCTTATAAGCTCACACAGAACGCTTATGTATGTTTTCGTGCTAGGGAATTCCCAGGGGTTTCCCCAGGAATGTGGAACTAGTTCGTCAGTGTTTACGTCATTTCAAGAACACGATCTCGGGAAAAACGTATGAACGTCAAATTGTGTCGTTTATACACTTATGAACGTCAATTTCGCGATCATGTGACCGACCTCTCGTCCAATGGAAAAGCCGTAAATCGTGTAAACGTCAAATTAAAAAATTATATAGATATAACCTGCCTATTTCATCGTGCGTGTCACATGACTTTCGAGATACAATATGTTCTACATATACATATATGTATGGAATATAAGTTGAAGATAACATAATATTACATAACTTCATTTGTATAATGTAATTTCACATTATATCAGGAAATATATTGCTTCGAGCACACGACTCTACAATGCCACCAAAGGACGCACCCGCGAAACGTGTTCAGTATCAATTATGAAAGGCCTGAGTACTCTAATAATTCATCTGTGCATTATTTCAGAGGCGTGTGTATGATAAAAAATTAGTCAATTCATGACCCATTGAATGGAAAATAGTTCTTTCTAAGAATTGAACTTTACATCTTTCTTTTTTTAAACTGCCTGTGATGCGACATACTTTCTTTTGATGATAACGGTATCCATTAATTCATAAAACGAAGTTTGTAGCTTAAACATGTGTTAATACCAGTGAATGTACTGCTAATATCTCACTAGAATTAACAATTGAAGTATAAAATAAGGGTGTAACGAAATATAATTAAGATGTGATTGAGTCGATATGTGTAGTACATTGTGAATGTATATTCAGTGACGTACGTTTGTTTGTTTGTTTGTTTGTTTGTTGTTTAACGCCGCACAGAGCAATATTCCAGCTTTATGACGGTTATCTGTAAATAATCGAATCTGGACCAGACTGTCTAGTGATTGACAGCATGATCATCGATCCACACAATTGATGCGATGGCACGCATCAACTATGTCAGCGAGCCTGACCACCCGATCCCGTTAGTCTCCTCTTACGACAAGCATAGTCGCCTTCCACAGCAAGTTTGGGTTGCTGAATGCCTATATATATTCTACCCCGGCTCTTCACGGGTCCAGTAACGTACGTAGTACATGTAGTAACAACCGGTATTTCTACCCGTGTTTGAGAAGTGTCATTTCCTGATATTCTATATGTACAAAGAAAAGTGACACTATCAAGAAATGAATGATGATCATTCACATCTGTCGATGCATTTGGTCTTGAGATTCCTTCCGCGATTGGATTCATTTGTGGGTAGTTGAGGGGAACTGCTCTAACTTGTTTATCCAGAATTTGTTGTGCTCTATGATTTTACCCCAGGATTAACTACATATATCTTTAACATGTGGATCATAAACAACACGTAGGCATGCATAAAGAAAGGTAGTTTGCAATGAGGTGGAAGTCAGAGATAGTTTCGTAACCGTTCATGTTTAGAAATTACATTTGACGATTATGTAAATGGGTCTAAAAATCAGCACTCACAAATTGTATAAGAAATAAGCAAAGAAGAGCAAAGGTATCCCCAACAATCGTGTTTTTAACAGTCTATCGAGGAAAGGTTTTCAGCATGCCATGTCATACAGCCTTACGATTGCAACCCGCGCGGAGGTTGACACACCGATTTAAGATCGAGCAGCGGTTGTCTTGTTGAACGGGTGTATCTTCAGACTGAGGTAACCGTAGTAGGGGTTATCTGTTGTAACGCGGATTTGACTGTCTACATATAGCTCATGTGAAGTCATTCTCAAAATAGCTCCGATAATGTACTACGGGTCTGACATGGTTAGAAAAATGTGCAAAGTCACGAGGCTAATCAGAAGGTATATGAAATAGTCACATGATTAACAGCTTTAACACCTTATCGAGAATGTGTCAAACCAGATTTAGCTTTACTAAATCAGAACAGGTTTCACAATGCTAGATCTAAGATATATTTCAACTACGAGTGACACACAACACAACTGATAAGATAGAAGAATAAGCCGGAATGTCAATATAACTGACTTTACAACCAAACCACTAAATAACTGTGAAAGACTATCACCAACACAGGGTGTTGTTGATATTGTTTAAGACCTTTTTACACTTTTAATTTCATTTTTACGAAACAATGTAAAACTTTATAACCCACTGTTTACTACGAAATAAACAACAGCCATCCTTATCTAAGCAGTATCTCTTAGCAAAATAGATATTATACTGACGGCCAAAAGAAACTTTACCATAGATTTAAATCACTAAGTTTAATAGCCACGAAAGATAGATGCATGAAGTAAAATGTATTGAAAAGATCAAAATCTCAACGAAATCA